ATTAAAATTTAAGGGTTTTTCATTAAAATTTAAGTTTTTTTTCATTAAATAAAGTTATAGCATGGCAAACTTAGCCTAAACCCTTTTCATGAAAGCTCCCTTATTAATATACACATATTAATTTATTTTTTGACCAAAAAAAGTTTTCTTAACTTATAAATTTTATTTAACATTCTTTAAACTTGAAAGACTTAATTAATGTACCTAAATGTTGTACTGAAACGTTTGTATTGAAATGTAATATATTGAATTAATGTAACTAAATGTGTGTACCAAAATGTATGCACCAAAATGTTAGTACTAAAACGTATGTATCAAAATGTATTATATTGAAGAGAGGTGGTAGGGTAGGTTTCTTAACTCTTACATTGGGCCTCAGTAAGGCATATGATTGAGTGAAGTGGGGTTTTTGGAGGCCGTACTTAAACGGTTGGGATTTTCGAATGCTTAGGTCCGGCTCATTATGACATGTGTATCGTCAGTGACGTATTCTTGTATGGTGAACGGAGAAGCGAAATGATATCTTTTGCATTCGCAGAGTTTAAGACAGGGCGACCCTCTCTCACCATATATATTTCGTCTTTGTGTGGAAGGTTTGCTCGTTTTTATTATGAGAAAAGAGAAGGAAATAGTGCTTCATGCTATTCGTATTGCAGAAACTGTCCCATGTCTGCACCATTTGCTGTTTGCGGACGATAGCTTCTTTTTTTCATGAGCCACGGTGGAGGACTATGGGGTGATCCAACACATTCTGGATATTTATTCTCAAGCATCAAGTCAGGCTATTAATTTTCAAAAAAGCAGTATTGCGTTCAATGGTAATGTAGCAATAGAGTTACAAGTACAACTAGCCTCGTTTTTAGGGGTTAATCGAGTTGAGAGACATGATCGTTACTTCAGCCTTCCTACCTCTGTGGGGCGGAACAAGAAGCAAACATTCTCATTCATCAAAGGAAGAATTACCAAGAGGCTTAATAGGTGGAAAGGCAAGCGTCTAAGTAGTGCGGGACGAGAGTTGCTTGTAAAGGTTTATGGTAGGCTTATTTCAAATAACTTTCTCTTGGCTGCCGAGGTTGGGCATTTCTTACATAATAAGAAAGGTGGTACAGAAGGCTTTTTATCTCTTAAGTTGGACCTCAATAAGGTGTATAATCCAGTGAAGTGGGGTTTTTGGAGGCCGTACTTAAACAGTTGGGATTTGGAAATGCTTGGGTCCGACTCATTATGACATGTATGTCGTTGGTGTCTTATTCTTTTATGGTGAACGGATAAGCGAAAAGATATCTTGTGCCTTCACGGGGGTTGAGATAGGATGACCCTCTCTCGCCATATCTATTCCTTCTTTGTGTGTAAGGTTTGTTAGCTTTAATTATGCGGAAATAGAGGGAAGGGATGCTTAATGGGATTCGTATTGCAAAAACTACCCCAAGTCTGCACCATTTGCTGTTTGCGGATGATAGCTTCTTTTTTTTCGCAAGCCATGATGGATGTAGGGTGATCCAACACATTTTGAATATTTATTCTCAAGCATTGGGTCAGGCTATTAATTTAAAAAAAAGCAGTGTTGCGTTTAGTGCTAATGTGGTGGTAGAGTTACAAGTACTACTACTCTCGTTCTTAGGGATTAATCGAGGCTTCCTACCTTTGTGGGGCGAAACAAGAAGCAAACATTCTCGTTCATCAAAGGAAGAGTTACCAAGAGGCTTAATGGGTGGAAATGCAAACGTCTAAGTAGTGCGGGACGAGAGTTGCTTATAAAGTTTGTTACTCAAGCCTTACTGGCTTATGCCATGAAAAGTTTCTTGCTACCAAAGTCGTTTTGTGAAGAACTTCAACAATTAATGGCACGTTTTTGATGATGTAGTGACATTGAAGCTCGAAAAAAATACATTGGATGTCTTAGGAAATAATGTGTAAACCGAAGCAAGATGGGCAACTAGGTTTTCGCGACCTCTATGTGTTTAATCTAGCGCTCCTGGCAAAACAAGGCTGGCGCACTATGCAGCAACCAACACACTTGTTGCTCATGTGTTGAAGGCAAAGTACTTCCCTGAAGATTCGTTTTGGAATGTTGATGCACCTTCTGCGGCATCATAGTCTTAGAAAAGCATTGTGAAGGCGTGTTTCATGTTAGAAGGTGGTTCACGTTGGGCTATTGGTGATGGCGAGTCCATTTAGATATGGAAGGACCGTTGGATTCCTCGGCCAAATTCTTTCAGATCCTTACACATGCCCCTCTCCCTCCCAAAGTGATCTTTTGCACCAGTTTTTTTACCGAGGAAGAGGTCCGACATTTATGCTCTATTCCACTTAGTTATCGTAGGTAGCCTCATCGTTTAATGTGGCACTATGATAATAAGGGAGTTTTTTTGTGAAAAATGCCTACAAGGTGGCATAATCGTGTTGCACACCACTAGCACTACAGGCATCATCGTTGTCGACGGCTGAGAGTGCTTACCGCGAACTCTAGCAAGTTATTTGGAGAGCTCGTGTTCCGCTAAAGGTCAAGGTTTGTGAGTGGCGTATCTGCTGTGATATTCTTCCAACCATATCCAATTTAATTAAGGTGTGAGGGTGGATGAGTCTTGTCTGCGTTGTGATAATGCACACGAAACTGGCAACCATGTTCTGCGGGATTGTAGATTTTCCCTAGCACTATGGGCTCCTGCTTCCTTAGGTGTTGGAGTAGGGCTAAATTACCACGAACTAGTTAAGGAATGGTTGACCCATATGCTGGAGGATACCCAAGTGAAGTTTGAAGCTGTTTTGATACTTTCGTAGACGTTGTGGACAGATCAGAATAGCTTGGTATGGGAGAGGCAGCTTATTGACCCTACTATTTTGTTGCAGCAAACACTTGAGTGGCTGCAGGAATTCCATCTGGCCAATTTGCAACCTCTTCATACAAAGCTTCCTAAACAACAACATTGGTTAGCACTTAGCGATGGTTGGTTTAAATTAAATATGGGTGGAGCTATTAGGGTGGAGGATTGCGTTGAAAGAGCCGGGGGGGGGGGGGGGGGGTGATTCAAGGTGCGACATGGGTTTTTATGGCAACAGGTGCTTTCAAGGAGCCACCTCTTCAATATAGGTAGAGCTTTTGGCACTTCGAGAAGGCTTGTTGCTCGCTAGAAGGGTGGGTTACACCAAGCTGCAAGTGGAGATTGACTCGCTCGAAGCAGTGAATGCTTGCAATGGAGATTTAGTTGATTTCTCCAGTATTGGCTTTATTATAGCTGCTGTTAAAGAGTTGGCATCCCAGTTCCGTGGGTGTTCAATTTTGTATTTTCCTCGCTCTTGTAATGGAGTGGCACATTGCCTCGCTAAGTTAAGTTTAAGTAATCGTTCTGATGCAGTTTGGTTTGAGGAACCTCCAGATGCTACTCGAGACGTACTCAATCAAGATATGTTACCCCCTTGAGTTTATGAAATAAAAGCTATCGTATTCCATAGAAAAAAAAAAGAATTAATGTATCGAAATGTTTGAATCGAAATGTATCTACTAAAATGTGTGTACCTAAATATATGCACCTAAAAGTATTATATTGATTTTAATGTACCTAAATGAAGAAGACAAAGTATATCAAAATATATTGTATAACAAAAATTAGTTTATCTAAATGTTTATAACAAATATATTATGATTTTTTAAAGTGTTATTTGGAAAAAGTTGTAGGAGTTAAGGTGCTTTTTTTCTAATAAAAAATAAAAAATAAAAAAACACCTCTGACTTAGAATCTGTTTAACATATTTTTGTCAAAAACACAGTTAGATGCATTTTTTATTGCTAGCCATTTCAAAACATTTATATGACTCAACTCATTATATTATCAATTAGCTTTACTGTGGAACTTTAGATACTTTCTGGTGTCATAGCAAGTTGGCTTAGTTAACCTAATTTGTGTTTCTTACATGTTAAATTTGCTTGTATTTAATGTATGAATTGTCTATCGGAAGAGAAGAGTCGACTTTTCATTTGTTTAATATATAACTGTAGTAGTCCTAATTTTGTAAGGAATGTGATTGTTTAAGCTTCCTTCGGTCTAAAGATGATGTGAGAAATGAGGCTTGGTTTGGTAACTGGTTGGTAGAGAGGAGAGCGACCATGGAAAGGCGGTTGGGGTGGGTGCCCGTCGAGGCTGTCTTGGCGATGGCAGAGGAAACTTAGGGCTGGTTTGGTATTGCTGTGCTTTGAAAAAAAGTTGTTGTGAAAATAAGCGGCTATGAAATAAATCAGCAGAGTGTTTGGTAAACTTCTTTGTAAAAGTGCTTTTGAAAAAAAAAAATCTCATAGTGGGTCTTTTCATTAAAGGAGCATTGTAGATCCATGTGCTTTGAAAAAAAAGCCAGTTTTCCAAAGCTGCAAATAGTAGCTTCAGCTTTTTCCTTTGATTTCAGCTTATTCTCACAACAGCTTCCAAAATTAGCCATTTTTTTTTAGTTTACCAAACACCTAAAACCCTCACAGCTTTTTTTCATGGGTGCTTTTTTTTAAGCACCTCACTCCCAAACCACCCCTTAGAGATGTCATTAGTGGTGTGTGGGTGCGATTGTAAGTTGAGGTATTTTTGGGAGAAAAACCTGGTGTTCTTATAAAATATGAAAATTTGAACTATAGTGCAGTGTGAGCTTAGAATGGTGGGTAATATCAAGGTGACGCTTGAATAGAAATCTCAAGAGTGAAGCCTGGTTTAGAAATGCTTTTAAAAAGACTGCAAGTGTTTTTAGTGAAAATAAGTTTGGGTTCTAAAAGCACTTTAAATGCTTTTTGAAAAAAATACCAGATATGTGTTTCTCGTAGGAAGTACTTAAAAGTGTATTTTTTATGATCCACTTGAATGTTTACAAAGAATTGTTTTTAAAAAAAAAATCGAGTAGTGAATGTAATATTTGGTAAACTATAAGGTTCTTTTAATCAAAACGATAGGGACTAAAGTGGAATTCGGAGTGAAATAGAGTGCCAAAAGTGAGATTTAGCAACAACAAAAAAGAGAAAAAGAAACGGCAAAGACTAAGAAACGGATTGCATTTTGTTTGCGCTTAAACGGGTTTCGACTTTCCCCAGAAACCCTAAGAAAGAAACGCCAGGTTTCGATAAATTCGAATCACCCGCGCCAAAAATGTAAAAAGCCACTTTACGATTTCAGGTAAAGTAAACAACAATCCTTTCACTTCTCATTATTTATCAACTGATAATTCAATTAGAACTGAAAAATACCATTTTTCTTTTTCTTTTTTTTTTTGGAAGAAGGAAAAATATCATATTTCATTCCAGCAATTTTTTTTTATTTTTTATTTTTTGGTGATTTATTGTAAAGATTTTATGTTTGATTCAATTTTTATTTTTTTGGTTCTGTTAATTGTAATTTATGATTTAATTGCTTCCTAAGCTGATTTTATAGCACAACAAAACATAGTGGAGAGTGGAGAGTGGAGAGTGGAGAGTGAATGGGATTGGATTCAGTTTTACTTGTAAAGTGAGAATTAGATTTTGTTTAGTTGAAAGATCATTGGAAAACTGAAGTGTTAAAGTATAAATTGATGATTTGGATGCTCGTACTCGTAAATGATTTTTATTTTATTTTTTCTGTTGAGTAATGAGAAGAAAACTTTGAATGTTACAAGACTTAGTTCATGGGTGGGTCAGGATTATGTATACGAACAGGTAGCATTGCGTTTGAACAACTTTTGTTGTCGGAGCAATTGAGGTTATGCATCATGAGAATACTTATCGACATATCATGGACATCCTATCCTGCTTCAGTTGCTGGATTTTGTTGTTGTCTATCTATGTGATAGCGCGTATTGGGATGGTGAATGTTCGAATAAGCAGGCACGTTGCAGCACTTGTAGCTCTTGTATCTCTACGATTTGCACACTGATACTTAGGAGAAAGATTGAATGGGATACTTTAAGAGAATCAAACCTTTGTTCTTCAAGGGTTTTTTGTTTTTCGCAATTGCTTACAGAACCCAATGTCTATTTTTCTTCAGGTCGGATCTGCTTGATATTGTTCATGCCATATACAAGGGAGGGAGAACTGCAGACATTGTTCTCTAGCGAGCCTTGTTACAAGCTCTAGCATGTTTTGGGGATTCACATTTCTTTCTGTGCTTTAGAATTATCTTGGATGCAGTAGAAGGTCAAGTATGGGCAGTAGATTAAGGAGAGAAGAGATGAAGCTGACCTTGGGACAAGCTTACTAGCCTCAGTCACATTGACTAGTTACGAGAAGAGTTACAGAGAATGGTTCGTTTCAATGTTGAAGTGTGGATCGTTAAAGTTCAAGGAGATAACCCTAAATATTGGAGAGTTTACTCTCAACATCTGGTGCATGCCCTATAACTTTAAGGTTGAACAGTTGAAGGATATACAACCAGATTCAATATCTTGAAAGGCTCATCATCTTGGAAAGCTCCGAAGGTGGTTAGTTCTTTTGTTCAAATGGTCACTAGGGTCAATTCCGACTTGTACTGGAATTGTACTTTTATACAACAATGTTTTTTAAGAATAAAAATGAGATTCACCGCATGCTAACATATTTATGTGGGTGTTAAATACTTTTTTTCTATCTTTTCATTTCTTCTTGTAGCCTTGATAATGGCATGACCTTTATCATTATGGAATTTGGCGTCGTTCATAAATAATGGGTACTTGAGAAAATCTTTGAGTTCTTGTTCTGTTTGTCTTGGCTTCATGTATAATATTCTCCATGGTTATTTACTAAATCATTTGTTTCCCCTCACAGGTTGTATGCAGTAATCACTAATGAGGCTTGAAATATGCCATCAGAATCTGATAAGTGGGGATGGAAGCATGTTACTGTGTTTGGCAGGTTTGACAAAGGAAGTGGTACCAAAAGGTGGAAATGCAACCACTGTAACATACGTTATAATGGATCTTATTCTCGTGTTAGAGCCCACCTACTTGGGTTCTCCGGTGTTGGGGTCAAAAGCTGCCCAGCAATAGACAGGTATTTAAGAGAATCCTTTCAGACTTTAGAGGAAGAGCGCATAGCTCACAAGAAGAAAAAATCTTCTGGATGTACAAAGCCTAGCAAGCGCATTCAGACATCACGGCCAAGTCTTACCTGTGCCACTAAAGAAGATATAGATGAAATAGTAGCCAGATTCTTTTATGTTCATGGATTGAATCTCAATGCTGTCAACTCTCCTTACTTTCATGACATGGCTAAAGCAATTTCTACTTTTGGCCCTGGATACAAACCCCTGTCAGTTGATGAGCTTTCTGATTCTTTCCTAACTAGAGAAAAGGGAAGGATAGAAAGATCTTTGGCTCTAGTTAGGGAGTCCTGGCCTCACATTGGATCCTCAATATTGTGTTTTGGTTGCTTAGAAAGTATGCTTGGCTGCTTCCGCATTAATATATTCATCTCCAATCCAAGAGGTCTTATGTTTTTAAAAGCAGTAGATATAGATGATGTTGATGGGGCAGAGAATGTATTTGCAGGTGTTCTTGATGATACTGTTATGGAATTCGGGCCCGGAAATGTGTTTCAGATAATCTCTCATCTAGGCAATGCTAGCAAATTATCTGATTCAGATGTGTTGTCAAAGTTTCCTCAGATTTTTTTGTCTCCGTGTACTTCACACTCTATATGCATGTTGATGGGAGAAATAGCTGAAATGGACTCCCTAAAACCCGTTGTCTACTGTGCTAAGGAAATTGAGCAATGCATTACCACATATCAGCACTTTTCTCCATGTAGGTTCAGTCAAAATTTGAAGGGAAGTGTTGATCCACTTTCTGTGAAGTTTGCACCTTCTTTCTGCATTGTTCAGAGGATTTTTGAGCTAAAGCAACAACTTCAAGAATTGGTTGTCAGCGAAGGTTGGAAGCAATGGAAGATTAGTGCATCAGATGACATTTTAAGTATTGAAGCTGCCATTTTAGGGGATGACTTCTGGAGCAGCGCACATCTGTTGTTGCAAGTATACGAGCCATTTGTAAGATTGCTTCCTACACTGGATATTGATAAACTTGTCATGGGTGATGTTTGTGACTGGCGGTTTCAGGCTGTTGAAGCCGTCAAATGTAAGGATATTGATTATGGCATACAGAATCAGTTGGAAGAGCTGATAGAGAACAGATGGGATGCATTATTTTCTCCACTTCATGCTGCTGGTTACATACTGAACCCTAGACATTTTGGGAAAGGTCCAACCAAAGATAAAATTGTCATGAGAGGTTGGAAAGCCACCCTAGAAAGATATGAACTGGAAAGTGCAAACAGGCTGGTGCTAAGAGAGCAGCTCAGCTCTTACTGGCGACTGAAGGGCTCCTTCGGAGATGAAGATGCTGTGGATTGTAGGGATAAAATGGACCCAGTTGCATGGTGGGAGAACTTTGGATTTGAGACACCGAACTTACAGACACTAGCTGTAAAAATTTTGAGTCAGGTTTCAAGCATTGCAATGTGTCAAAAGATATGGCAAGAATATGAGTTTCCTGGTCACGAAATATCCAACCGATGGGGAGTGGATAGAGTGGAGGATCTTGTTTTTGTGAGAAACAATCTTAGACTTGATAGCCAAAGAAATATCTCAAACTCGTTATCTGGCCAGAAACATGTAAGTTTATGCGCGTCGTCTGGAGCGAAGACATGGGATGGTGCTCATCTTGATCAAACAAAGGTGACTGTAAGTATTCATGACGAAATCTGTTAGTCTTTGTTACTTTTATGCTCAAAATATTGTAACTAAGGACTGCATAAAGTTATGGTCGGAGTTTTTTCTTTTGTGGGCAATTTGTGATTAGGGTGACATTTTGCAAAGAGTTCTTCAGCTGTTATAATGCAATATTTGAAATTGCTCAAAGACCTAATATGTTTTTTTTTTAATTATTTATTTAGTAACTAAAAGTGTTATATATAACAAATGTATTGATATCGGTGACAAGCTTAGCTAAACTAAACTTTTCTTTGATCTGGGATGCACTTTGTTTTTTATTTATTTAAAGGAAATAGATTTCCACACTTTCTCCCTTTGCACGAGGAGAATTTGTATGGAATGGGTGCACCGGGAATGTTCGGTGCCAATAATAAAAAGACATTTGTTAGTATCTCTTCACATGTCCGCTTGTATTATTGGCACATGATGCTATATTGACGGTGTACTTGTGCCATATAAGTCCTCTCTTTGCACACCTATATCTTATTCTTGAACAAATCAAAAATAATTAAAGGTAAAATAAACATGAATGTGCAGAAAGCAAAAAGGGTAAGCGAAATTAATTTAATTAAACCAAAAATAGTTGTTTTCTGTTTATTTCTGGCTATAGAACTCAAAAAGAAATGTATTGATGTAGGCCTGGACCAATTTCTAGTGGGGCCATGATTTCTTGATTGGCTAGTGGGCCCATGATTTCTTGATTGGCTAGTGGGCCGTTAAGTCCAATTTCCCAGAATCCTTAAATCCGGACAATTTCCTATTGTTCTCTTTTATATTCTCATCTGCTTTCAAAGTATGCCTTCAGTTGGTACAATAGGAACTGATTGAGCTAGTGTATCAAGTATGCCTTCAGTTGGTACAATGGGCTAGTAATAATGTGGTTCAAATTTGCCTTTTGCGAGAATTGAACCTAAAACTTCTCACTTACAAGTCAAGGGGAATAGCAGTAGACTGTAGTAATAAGAGACACAATTTCTTTTTTAAGTTTCAGTTTTTATTTTTTATGGTAGAGATGGAGAAAAATATATGTGAGGGAAATGAGGATGAAGAAGGATGAGAGGGTCTTGGAGGGAGTGGGGACAAATGAATGAGATCGTATAAAAACAAAAAGTTAAAGGTGAAGTTGTCTCACTTTTCGACTTTAATTTTCAATTTGTGTGTCATGCCATGTACATTTGACATTGCTTCGAGTTCCATCATCCTCCATCCATCTTTATTCCTCCCTTATTCCACATACTTTTTTCTCTATATATAGCACAAAACGGAAAAACAAAAAAAATACATAACAAAATAATTATGCAAATGAGCAATAAACACATGAATTGAAGCACATACGAAATTGAGCCCTAAACTTTTGATCTGAGTTTTTCGTATACGTTCATGTATTGAAGTAATAAGAAACCTATATGAAACAGTTATTGGTATTCCAAAAAAAATGCAAAATAACGTTTTTGGATTACTGGTAAAATAAGCACATGAATTGAAGTATATATGAAATGAAGGAGCCTGGGAAATATGTCCATATCAAATATCAATTTGTCATTGTTTTCTGGGTTCAAGTCAAGTACATCTGACCAAGGTTAATTAGACCAAGGCACCTAGGTGTAGCATAAATCATGGCACAAATCATTGCACATACACAATAGCCAAAATTAAGGGCTCAAGTATCTTCTTTACGTGGAAATTAAACAAAAGCAAAACCGGCTGGTTATGTTGTAAGCGGACAAATTTGCAGTTAAAAGTTTGAAAAAGTGGGATTAGATTTAATAAGTGGGACAAAGGCAGTCAAACACGACTCAAAAAAATCTGGTGTATTGTTTGTTTACCTAGTGGCCACCATATCAGAACAATTTGTGGGAGATTTTAAACCTAACCTGCCACAACTTTATCAAGTAAAAGAAAAAGCACTACTATTAATTCTTACATTTATGGTTGATGGGGAATAAAGAAAAAAGAAGAGATAGAAAAGGTCATGGAATTATCTCTGGTTTACCTTTTCCTCTAGCCTCCATCTCCACATCATAGAAAACTCAGGAAAGAATTATCTAAAGAGGTCCAGAAACCAAAAACCCTAAACCCTTCCCCTGGTGCATAACGTAAAGAGTCATCAAAGTGTTGATAAGAATTGCTTATAGTTTGTTTTAGTTGTTTTGTAAATTGTTAGTTTGGTTAAGGGCATAAGTGTAATCTGTTAGAATGCCCACAATATATATATCAAACTTTGTGTAATTATCTGATTGTATTGAATGAAAGAAAGATATTCAGTTTCTATATGGTATCACGACCGTCTCGCCTCATGGCCTTCTCTCTCTCGATCCTCTTCGCTTTCGCTCCCAATTTCTGATCTTTCTCTCTGAATTTTGCTGTGATTCTTCATTGTTCTTCTTCGATTGTCGCTTTGATCTTGTTGTTTGGTGTCTTTCTCGCTGCAATCAGCCATGGCGACTCCGTCAAATTCGTCTTCTCCTCTTGAGTCGGTGCAAGCTCCAAACCCTAATTCGTCAAATTCTGCCATGTCTTCGTCTTCATATGCTTCTCTGACGATCCAAAACATTGGAAGTATGGTGCCAATTAAACTCAAACGCTCCAATTATCTCCCCTGGCGTGCTTTATTTGCTCCAATTCTGCGCAGGTATAAGCTCCTTGGCATCATTGATGGTACTGAGGTCTGTCCATCACCTCTTCTTTCTGATCGCTCTATCAATCCCGACTTTGACATTTGGAATGAGAAAGATCAGAACCTTCTTATCTGGTTGAATTCTACTCTGTCTGAAGAAGTGATTCCTTTCACTGTTGGTGTCTCGTCGTCTCGGGATCTATGGATCAAGCTTGAGCAGCGCTTTGGAGGAGTCTATGATGCTCACATTCATCAGTTACGATCTCGTCTCCAATCCATTCAGAAAGGTTCACAGTCAATTTCTGATTATCTTCAACAAATCAAGGAAATCTCTGATGCCTTGATGGCGGCTGGTGCTCCTGTCACAGATCGTGACCTAATTGCGGCTACACTGGCTGGCTTACCTGATGAGTTTGAATCTTTTACTGATTCCCTTCTTCTTCGTCTTTCCCATACAACTCTGGATGAATTGCATGGCTTACTGCTCACCAAGGAATTATCAATGACTAGACGGAAGAAAGCTGCTTCCTCTAACACCACAGAGCCTTTCCATGCCTTTACTGCTCACTCGCTGCCTCCTCTTTTGCCTACACCGCCACCGCACCAAGCTTTTGCTGTTCAACCTCAGTCTTCTCGCGGCAATTACTGTGGCAGTCATCGTGGAAACTATAGAGGCAATGCTCGTGGACATCGTGGCAATTATAAAGGTACCAATTTTCGTGGCAATTATCAAGGCTTTCGTGGCAACTCTCAAGGCTCTCGTGGTATCCAGTGTCAAATATGTGGATCAAACAGTCATGAGGCTATTGACTGTTTTGATCGAATGAACCCTGATATATTTGGCAAAGTTCCTCCTGCTAAACTTGCTGCTATGTGTGCACACTTTTCATCAAAGCCCACTCCTTCTTGGCTTATTGATTCGGGTGCAACTTCTCACATAACCAATGACATCTCTAACATTTCATCTCCTACTCCTTACCGTGGTGAAGACAAGGTCTACATTGGTGATGGTAAAGGTTTGACAATTACCAACGTTGGTTCTTCGTTTTTACATACTCCTTCTGCTACATTTAAACTGCAACATGTTCTTCATGTACCACAAATGCAGCACAATTTACTATCTGCATATCAGTTTCTCAAAGATAATTACTGTTCTTTGACTCTTAATTCTGATGGATCCTTTGTAAAGGATCGTTCTACGGGGAAGACGCTTTTGCGGGGACCGGTTAAAGATGGTTTTTATCCCCTGCAATGTACATCTCAGTCATCTCAATCATCTCATCGTTCTGCTACTTCACCTACTGCCTTAATTAAGTGTCAAAGCACCGATTTCAGTTTGGCACAGTCGACTTGGTCATCCGTCTTCATCAATATTCAGGCGTGTTCTCTCAACAAATAAGCTTGCTCTCACAGGAAAGGCTTCAGTGGATTTCTTTTGTTCTCACTGTGCTCTTGCAAAAAGTCACAAGCAGCCGTTCAGTTCTGTTAGTTCTACTTCTTCTTCTTGTTTAGAACTTTTACATTGTGATCTCTGGGGTCCAGCTCCTGTTATGTCAGTGAGTGGATCTAGATACTATCTGTTGATTGTAGATGACTATAGTAAATATAGTTGGTTCTTTTTCCTTTACAATCCAAATCTGCAGTGTATTCTGTATTGGTTCAGTTCAAGAGTTATGTAGAAAACCTTCTTGGCAATAAAATCAAAGTGTTTCGTTCAGATTCAGGGGGTGAATTTACTAGCACTGCACTACAGAATTTTTTCAAAACTCATGGTATTATACATCAATTCAGTTGTCCGCATACACCTGAACAGAATGGTTGTGCAGAAAGAAAACATCGTCATCTGGTCGAGACTGCTCGCACACTTTTGGTTGCTTCTAATGTGCCTCATGGTTTCTGGGTAGAGGCCTTTTCCACTGCTATATACTTGATTAATCGACTTCCAATTTCTGGCATGATGCAGTCTCCATGGGAATTATTATTTCATACTTTCCCTGATTATTGTCGGCTGAAGGTCTTTGGTTGCAGCTGTTTTCCATGGCTTAAGCCTTATACAACTTCCAAACTGGACAGCAAAAGTAAGTATTGCGTGTTCTTGGGGTACAGTCTTCAACATAAGGGATATCGGTGCTTGGATCCATTGACACAGAGGGTCTATATATCTCGTCATGTTATTTTTGATGAATCTACATTCCCATTTCATCACTCTCACCCATTGTCCCTGAGTGCTTCCCGATTTAATACTGCATCTCCAGTTGTGTCTTCAGTTGACTTGCAGTTCACTGTCCCTCATTCTTCCCGATCCTGCACTACTAGTGCCTGCCTTACTGTCCCACATACTGCCTCTATTGCCTCACATGCTCCTACTGCCCCCACTGCTCATACTGCCCCTATTGACTCACATGCTGCTCCTGTTGCTTCACATGCTGATTCTGTTGCTTCACATGCTGATTCTGTTACTTCACATGATCTACTTGCTGCCCCTATTGACTCACATGATCCTACTGTTGATTCCATTGGTCTTCCCATCTCGGTTCCTTCTGTCTCTTCTACTGTGCACAATACTCATCCTATGCTTACTCGGTCAAAAACAGGGATATTCAAAC